AGTGGGGGGGGGGGGGGGCATATGTTACCACCCACCTCTAACTCAAAAACTAAGAGGGCTAGAAAGACGCGGTAAAAAGCAGTCGATAGCTCTCAATGCGTACGTTTGAAAGTATTTCAGTCATTTTTCATCTTTGAGCAATATTGGGGTCACCAGAGGTCATCAAAGGTCAAAATTTTCCAATCGTCATTATACTTTTCAGAAAACGTGCCGCTATCTCAGGAACTATGGTAGCTAGAATAACGCATTGAAAAGCAATCGATAGCTTTTCAACTCTTCTTTCGATAAGTTTATTATCGAAATTGACCTCAGGTCGACGGTTTAGCCTCCAGAGGGCAAAAACTCCAAAAATAGCTGTTTTTACGAAAAGTGTTTTTCGACAATAACTTTCGACTACAAAAAGCCACGACATTTCTATTGCCAGAATCGTGTTCCTCTCGCCGAGACGCGTCGAATGAACTAAAATTTGATCTTGAAAGGTCAACTTGAAAATTTGACCTCAGGTCAAGGTCATGACCTGACCGAAAAGGTCATGTTGCATATCAGTCGATTCGTCTCAACAAGACAAACACAATGAGACCATCCCCAGCGTTCTATCTCTTTCCAATCGCGAGTTATTGGCAAAAAGCTGTTTGCAGCTTCAATTGACCTCGGATGACCTTTCTAGAGGCTATCAGCAAAAATGACGCCTTGGTCATCACGGGTGGTCCAAATCATTGTGATTCGTAAATATTTGGACTGTTCCTATGCGTACACACGGATCTAGAGGCATTTTCATTTTTCTCCATTGACTTGTAATGGAAAGGTCACGCCATTGACCTGACCTTAGGTCACGGATAGGTATGAAAAATCCGAGATATACAAATTGTAGGCGCTCATAACAGCATGCAATTTACCAAGTTTGAAACCTTTCTGACAAACGCTGCAGGCTGGACATGATTACAAACTTTTTTAGGCTTGGTCAGTTAACTTGACCTGGTGACCTGACCTGACATGACCTGGGGTCAAACATTTCACACATTGTCCAAAATTGATGTACCAAAAGCTATCCAAGCGCCGCGCCGCGGTTTTTTATTCACACGCAAAAAACGCGACAGGGTGGTAACATATGCCCCCCCCCCCCACTGGGGCGAAGGTTAAGTAAGAACTTTACACTCTAACCCATACTGCGGTGTTAGTGTTTGGGTAAATAATGTGACACTGGCTCTGTTCCAGTACTATGCGTTACTTTTAACTTAATGCACAGCAACACTATAATTCTGGCAAGCCAAGCATGTGGTAAGACACCCGTCTTTCCCACTTACAGCGTAACTAGTTCCGCCATCGGTACACTCCACAGCTGGCAAGACAGTCCGCAATGTCTTAGCGTAACATCGGAGCTCAGTGCTACACTCAGCTTTACATGACATCAGCTTCACTGGCGCGGCCAGTACATTAGAGCCTGGTGTCGCACTGACCTCCGCCAGACATCAGTGGCTCACTGGTACCACTGGCCGGAGTGGCGCCCGTAGACATGGTGCTCGCTGAGGTGACGCTTCTCTTGATTGCCCGACAACAGCGGTTCTTGAGCAGGGCGTGCCACAGAGTCCACACCCCGCCCTTGCCAACCACCATCAGAAGGAACACGGAAAAACCTGCAGCGGATGCAAATAAATCAACACCAAGGCACACCGACTAGAACGAAATGCACGTACATTCTCAAATACTATACTCTAACTCGTTAACCCAACATGTTTACTTTGTAACAAACAAACTTTTTAAGGTCATGTAGGTACCTCAAATTGCTGATGACATATTGGCACGTTTTGAGAAGTTTCAAAGTCTCACCTTGAAGCGTGCTGCAGATGCAGAAGAGGAGGGCGAACACCAGACGACCTTCCCGTACGGCCAGGAAGCCAAAGATCCATGCTAGTCCGAGCATCACCAGGGTGACCAGTGAGACGCGCAGACGGCGCCGCGCCAGCTGCTGCTCCGACTGGTTGGTGCGCAGCCTCCTCTCGCGGCCGCAGTTCAGAGCGTGCACGATACGGCCGAACAGAACGGCATTAAACGCCACCATAGCGAGCATCGGCAGTGCCAAGGCGTAGCGGAAACTCTGGAAGTCCATCCAGCAGACGTGTTCTTGGCTGTCGTAGCAGTGAGGGCGAAAAGCGAGCACGCAGACGACCGGCACAAGACTTCCGCCCCAGACCAGTCCGCTTGCCTTATGCATGAACCTGGGAATGTACGTGCCCACAACTTTCACGAAGCGCAGGTACTGAAACACAGCCTCCACACACATCCACCCGAACGTTGCTAATAAGAAGAAATGAAGCAGCGCCGACATACAAACGCAGGCGTCGTGATGTTCCTTCGCTCCCAGACCTCCCAGAAAGGTCACGTAGACCCCTGTCAGAGCAACACTCATGTGCATAACGATCTGACTACTACGCAGCTTCCTCCATTTCTTGAACAACACAAATGTCAGCATGGTAAAGACGAGTCCAAGAAGCGAAAGGCAGCTACCGATGTAAGTGACAATATCTAGAGCGTAGTGGTAGCTATCACTAAGATACTCGTCCCGTTCGTAGTTGAAGATCCTGGCGAAGTTAGTCAGATGGTTGCAACGGCAAAAGTCACTACCGTCTTGAACCTTCACCAGCCAGCAACCCGTAGTGGACCAGCGAGACTCAGCAGAAACCCAAAAGGCGCATGTTGGCGCAGGCGCACACTGTCCTGGCAGACTACGAAACATTGTCAAAACATTTCCAAAGACTCGCTCCTTGCTCGTTGCGCCAGGAATTATGGCCGACACTACCTGACTCGTGACACGTTGGCCGGGGGACTGAAACAGCCGACCATTACGGTAGACGACAAAGGCAACGGAAATGTTAGGCCTCTTGTTTTCTAACAGGATCGATGACTCCATACCAGATGAGGATAAGCGAGACATGTCATCGACTTGGGCTACCTTTTTTTCACTGAGGCTCGTTATCTCGTTTGAGGATGATGCGATGCCAACGATGTCCCCCGAGCGAACTGCTATATTTTCCGTGTCTATATTGTAATCGCCTTCCACTGGAGTTTCCAGAATGCCCTCAAGCGCGTTGATAATGCGGGAACCTTTTCCAGGTACCAGTGAAGAGGTCTTGAGTACTGACTGGTCCACATTCATCAGCTGACTGGCAGCTTCAACAACTTTCCTGCGTACAGACAGCGCATCTTCCGGTGGTATGGGCCGATTCCCACCCTGACTGCTCCTCTGCACACTGGCGATGATGTTTTCCAATACGTCAGCAGCCGAGACCACATCTCCAGCATCCAGGGAGGCCGGCTCGACTGTCAGCCGTTGCAGCTCGTCCGCTGTGGCCACCACGTTATCTGTAGTCACGTCGACCTTAGACAGCTGGTAGAGGTCCATTGAGGTGACAGATACGGCGGCACAGCTGGAGGCTCCGAAGTCTACAGACGACCACTGGACGCCCGTCAGAGGAGTACCCTGGCAGTGCCGCAGCGGCCGTCGCCCGGAGCCATCCACACACTGCTCTTCGGCGGAGACAGTCCCTCCGCATGTCTTCGGCCAGCTGAGAGGCACGGGGTGCTGTGTCCTTTCTGCTGGGCAGCAGCGTGCAGGCTTGATGTACTTAGGTTTAAAGTCGCTCGTAAGGATTTTAGTTCCATTAAGATCTCGGTGAGCCTGTTCAAGTTCATTTTGGTTCGAAGTTCTAGACTGGCTGGCGTTTCCGGACGGTGGATGTCTCAGGATGACCGCTTCTAGGGTGATGTAATAGTGGGCTGTAACATCCCCGTTGCTGGATGATGTTACACGGAGAAGGTACATTCTTCGTTGAAAAATCTGGGGATCTGTAGTTTCGGGAACTACAAGTATCTCGCTTGTATGCGTCAAGTTGAAGCAGGGACAAATGGAGCCACCGAGGGTAACTTCGCACTGCGAAATATTTCCTCCAGTCTCCTGGACTCCAACAACATATTCTTGCACGAATACATCTCGCTTGGTTAACAGAAGCGAGTTAGACGTGATCTGTACTCCCAATTCGGTGATGAGCAGTCCGCATGTGAGGTAGCCAAAATCTACTGAAGGAAATATTTGTACAAAGACTCGCCCATGGCCATCGGAGATAACGTTGAAGCTTTCCACTCCAAATCTATCGCGTGCATTTGATGAAGTTCTTCTGTTCTGAAACAGCTCAGCTTTCGTCGCGTCGGAGGTAGAGACCATGCATATGAGATCATCATCCCAGTCTTCTACAAAATTCTGGAGACTCGTAACGTTCGCGAGAATGGATTTGTTGTCGAATGAATGATCATAAAATAACACAATCTCTGCTGCTTCAGCGACAGCATGTTCCTCACACAAGGCGCATCCCACGGCCTTTTCATCAGGCATAACGAAGTCATACTGGCCACGTGGGACGTCTAAAACGCCATGCGTATGGCTCTCATCCGTAGACAGAAAAGGGGACAAGCCTGGGTAGGCCAGACTGCTGAAGTCTTGCCATGTCACTCGACCGTCGTGTCTTTCTAGTTGCACTGCGACACGGTCCGATCTTCCTTGAAAGCCGCTCAGACGAAGCACTGCATCCAGGTATCTTGGCGAGGTCAAGCTGGCTAGAGTTGAACCAGACCTGGTGCACAGAGCCGACGCTTCTGCCCACGAGATACGCGAGCTGTTACTTGGGCATATGGGCGTAAAACAGCGTTCGGTGCCCGTTGTGCCATTCTCATGCTCAGGCTGACATACTCTCTGTCTTGCTATCGACACCTGTGAAGCTTCCCTTCCAGTCGGTGAGAGCAGAGGAGTTGTGACGCAAGCCACTCCATGTCTCGCCGTACATGAAGAGCTGGAGACCAGACCTTTCTGGGTCATCACTGTGCAATTCTGATCATTTCGTAGGTTGGCCGTGCTTTGACCGTCATCAGTAACCAGAAGACTTCGAATTGCCGGTAAGAATGATCCATGTGGCCACAGTCTTTGAAAAGGAAGCCAGATTGTGGAACTGAGCCACGGAACCCTTTCCAGTGGAATCCAAGGTTTGGAAAACGGATGCTGATGGTGACACGTGGAAGTACGCTCTTCAAAACTGACATTTGAAATTACCATCGTGCACAGTCCCGAATAAGTCACTGTGTTGTTGGCCGTTAGGAGTACAAACCCTGGTGGGCATGCAGGTGGAGGCGGTTCGCACCGATTAAGTCTCGATTGGCAAACGCCGGCAGCACAGAAGGGACCCCACTGGGCACCGCTGGGCCCAAAACTCGGCATACATCGCCGTTCAACGACAGCCATGAGACCATTGGTTACACATGGTGGATACGATGGAGTGAAACCCGAGCTGTTCGACGCCTGCCACATGTGTCCTTCCACGTCCACGATGGGACAACGGAAAACCTCACGAAGTGAGAGGTCATTGCGGGACGAGGTTCCATTCTGTCGAGCGGTCGCATCATTGAAAGCAATGCTTTCCTGGAAATGTGCAGCATCAAGGGGTTGGGGTACACCAGTGTCGATGATGAGTGACACTTTGCGAAGACCAGGTCGTGGTGTTTTCCTTCCGTATTCCTGATGCCTGATGAGATTGCTTGGGTAGTCAAACGCTGCAACGAATCGAAATCTGTCCGCAACTGAATTCAAAAGGTCCCCTAAAGTTTTAATCGTTCCATTTGGCGTCGACGTTTCTCCCAGTGCCGGGCCACCTGAGCTCAACTCCAGCAGCTGAAGTGTCTCCAAGATCCGGTCTGGCGTCGTCGTCAGCACGTACATATCTCCAGAGCTCGCCACGTGAAGGCGTCCACTTATCACAGGATCCGCTGCTCCTGTCACGTACCTTCGACACCAGTAAGTGCCAACGCTCAGAGCGTTTCCTGGACGAGGCGCGAACTGTTGGAAAATGGTGAAGTTTGCATTCCACCAACTCGAGATGTAGCGCGTTCTTCCGAGCACGAAGTGATCTTTGACGATGGTGTCGCCCGGACCGCAGGTGATGTTTAGGTGTATACCAGTCTCCAGAGAGGTTTGATTCACAAAGACGACCTCGTCATGAGCAGGAGACGGTCGGACGGTCGCATCACCGATCTGAGCTGTGAAAGACGGTTTGTAGTCGGCTTGTTGTTGCTCCGCGTCAGTGTGCTCGTCACGGAAGCACACCACTCCTAGGGTGGCGTTGCAAGAAGTCCAGGTCATGCTCAGTTCGTTGGCTATCGTCGTTGCTCGACCACATAGATCTGTGACCTCGGCGGAGGCATTGAGGGCGACGTCTTCATGTGAAAGAGAGCTGTAATCTGAAACAGACGTGGACATTGTATTAATAACTCTGGAAAACTAGCACCTCGACAATCTGTTATTATCCACTGCAACTTCGAACACCAAAACAACAACTAAATTGCCCAAGTTTTCGCCAAAGTAATCACTCACGACGAAGCTACGACATTTACTCCGTTTATTTGTTTAATTGCCACAATTTTGGTCAGCAGAGAAGCTTACCACCATCCTGGAGAAGCCATTCAAAGTAGCCGTTTCGTAGATACTTGGCACCGATCCAAAAGTCCCTTGATGGATTCAGACGACCTGCTGAGCTGAGGCCCACCAAGCTGTCGAATGCAGCTTGCGATGGCACCAAGAAAGAGTGTCGAAGTCGACACTGCTCGTGAGCTTCTCTCCATGTGGCGGCCCGATCCAGAAAGTCCAGACGGTCACCCCTGTGATGAGGATGAATTGTTATGAATGGCGCAACAATGGAAATTATGTGGTGCCTCTGTTGTCTGTAGTGGCTAGTAAATGTAAGCCACAAGTAAGCAGCGTAGGACATTTGATTTCTTATCACAGACAATGACGATGACACCAACAATTAAAATGCAATTGTTTTTATTGGACTGTCATTGTCGATATAAAAATGTAAGCTACAAGAAATAGACACAATGCATATAAATGGACAAGATTGAAAAATAAGACACGCAAACTTCTCACTCACGACGGCATTATATTTCTTACCCTAATAGTAACTGCGAGCGTACGATGGACACAAGACCGACGGCCAGCCAGACCGCGATGAGAGCCGACGACGTCATTGGTTTGAGGCAAGAGACACCATGAGACAATACTAGCTGAGCTGGTCAACGCTGTACGCCTGCCACGCAAAACCAATGAACAAGCCGTCACATCTCACTCAAAATACACTAAGCAGCGGGTGAAGTTAGCAGCGGGTTAGGTCCAACTTGAGACATTCTCAATTATAAGAGGTACCTAATGCAGTTATAGGTACGAGGAAAACTTACGTTAACAAGAAAAAAACACGTCCCTAAATAAGCGCACGAATGCCCAGTGAAGAAATCAACTAAAAGGTAGGTCGACTGCTTAGGTAACTAGCGCAGGAGGCATTCACAGCACGAGAAGCCCAAAGGAAGAAATGGTTCACTTGATTTCTCTCAAACCAACAAACTCACTTTCATCATTTTCCGACTCCTTTCCTCCCGTATTGACAAAAGAAAAATGGGCATGCCTTCAAAAGAAATTGATGGGCTAGAGAGCACTGGCAGCGTAAGGCTGTAGCTACTACAGTGGTCGGCACTAGTACGCTTTCCTGCTTAACCAAGATACCTACCGAGACGCATAGGTAGGCACCAAATAGCGGCATATCTACCACGTATGAAGTTTATAGTCAAAACCATACTCACTGTTTCACGGATCAGCAATTGTTGCTGTGACCACCATCAATGGTCTGCAGCCACAATCAGCGTAAAACTAAACGAAAATCTGAACGTAAAACAACTGCCACTGCTCATCTGTCGCCTGCGACCACTGTTCAGCGCCAAGCCCTGATCCACACTGAATCAGTTTTGATAAGTGCACTTTAGTGGCGGTACTATCAGCCACTTAGTTTCGGAGCGTTGGCAGCTATCTGCACAAGTTTCCTGCTCCTGTATAAAGGACACAATATACATGAACACGTGGTGACAGGCTATCTTAACTAGGACCTTTCGGTTGCGTGAATCATGATGTGAAGTCAGGGTTCACTGTGTATTCCATATACAGTCAGTCTTGAAAGTATTGGGCATCGTTGCAGTGGATCCATCAATCCCGACCGAGGAAGGGCTGCTAGATTTGAGTCACCGAATCAATTGACCTGGGGGCTGGGTGACGATGCCCATTGGTTAGGTCAAATCAGGAGCCGTTTCTCGGTCAGGCTTGATGGATGCACTGCACCATTGCGCGGTACTTCCAAGACTAACTGTCCTATGTTAACCACTTCTTGCAGCGGTCATCTACATATGTCATACATATGTTATGTCACGACATCTACATGACCCAGACCGCCACTGTAAAACGCCCGCAGTGCCTATATGTAGTCTGCTAGAACGGTCGCGCTTGAAAGTACCGCGCATCGGTGCGGTGGATCCATCAAGCCCGACCGAGGAAGGGCTGCTAAATTTGAGAGTCACTGACCCAATGGACATACGCATCCATCCCCCAGGTAAATAGATTCGGTAACTCTCAAATCTAGCAGCCCAACTCTCAAAACCTAGCAGTCAGACTTGATGAATCCACCGCACCGATGCGCGGTACTTTCAAGAGAGACTGTACAAATACATTGTGCACCTACAGCATACATAGATAAGACACAACTATAGCATGGATTAGAGGCATTCATCATCCGTGCCTGTAGATAACATGTCTACCAACCATGATGATGGAGGTAATATGTTTATGTCAGCTGGGAGCGCTTTAGTTTTGTAACGATTACAATAATTCGGTTGTTACTGGGCCGATGGCGCTGAAACTTGGAATGGCACTTGGACAGCCGCCGGGCAGTGCATTTCCGTGTGTCACGGTTGGGATGCCACGGTTTCATGTGCCCCCCCCCCCCCCCGGTCCGCAGTCGGCGCCGTCAGACTCGACGGACGTCCCCGACAACAGACGTCTCCAGCGACGCGTCTCCGACCGTCATCGAGTACCGCCACGTCGACACACTGCCGGAGCAGGTGCAGCACGTCCAGACGGCCCGATTCCGTCTCCAGTACGGCCGATCGGTGCTGGAGCACCTGGAGGGGATCGGCACCGACTGGCTGTGACCGGCCGAGGCCGTCCAACGACGCCGATGAAGGACGGACCGGCCGACGCCCGCAACGGTCGGTGTCTACTGTCACTCAGTTGTGTTGTGTGTCGGTAGTGCATCAGTTGTGGGGCGTATTTGTGTCGTTTATTGTGGGTAGTCGGGTAGACGCATTGCACGTATTTAACCATCGCACTTACAGGGGGGAGGTCGAACAGACCCTCCCCTCGGTTTTTCGCGAATAACTCGCGCAAAAAGCGGCTGATTGCGACGAAATTTTCAGTGCACTCGGGTTGGTCAACTTTACACATACTCTGAAAATTTTCCAGTCTTTGTGTGGTTGTAAACGGTCAAACATGTGAAATGATGTTGGTCCTATGCATTATTGTGGGTGTCAAGGTGACGTGGTCAGGTCAAGGTCACTGACCTTTGATGACCTTGGTGCACTTTTTTCGAATTTAGCACCCATTCGAGGATTTCCGAAGTAGTTTTGGTGCCTTCGTAGCTTGTTACGAAACTGTCAGTGGTGGTTGACACCTACTATGGATAGCCGGCAGGACGCCTACTGGTTGACCTGAATTGACCTGACCCGACCTGGCCTAAATGGATAAGGACATCATCTGTGATCAAAACTAACATGATATTCGTGATCAGCACCTAAAAAACAACAATCTCGCTTTACGAACTTCTAGCATGTCCTGATTTTCCTGACTTTTGGGTTATCTGACCTGACCTAGAAGGTCAACCAATGACCTAGGACCTTAAAATTGGGTATCATCGGCTTCCTCTTGTTGCTGGCAACACGTTTGTTTTTCCGAGAAGCTCTAGCTCCATCAGGGGCCAAACTACAAGGGAGTTCCAACGGACCTTCCCTCCCCTCCCCTATACGTTAGACGCTGGCAAAACACGAATACGGGCGAGGGTTAATGCATGCTGTAGGTATTGATCCTACTGCAAAATGTATAACACTTTGCAGGGCGACTTATCTGCGGTAGTTTGTTAAATATTTTTACCTATATATCAGTGTACATCTGACATTGTTCCGTCTCAAATGGCCGCCCGATATCTTACCTTTTGATTTAGGGGACGGAATATTTGGACTTCAATTCTTATTTGTCACCTAACGATCAGTGATTACCTCCCCACAAAGCGGCCCGTTTGGACCCTCCCGGCTAATTCACATCACCCACCGCCTGACCCGTGTATTACCGTCCCCTCAGAGCGGCGCCACGCGTGCCACCGCTGTGGCCAGCAGCTGGGAGCACTCCAGGAGCAGATCGTGCACGTGCACACGGTGCACAAGGACAGGGTCTGGTGCAGACGGTGCCGGACCGAGTTTCCCGATCAACAGTCCCACCTGGAGCACCGCGCCCGGTGTCGGCGGACCAACGGTCAGAGGCAGAGAGGGGGTAGGGGAGAGTGGGGCACATTCGTGCATGAGCCACATTTCCACCAACACGTTAACGACATCATATCCAAAGTGAATAGGGCTCTAGGACCTCTATACTCACTGTCACGAATCCTTCCTAGACACATTCTCAAAAACATTTATACTGTTTACATTCTCCCCATATTTGACTACTGTGACGTGATCTACGATGGACACTTGACTACTCATGACTCTCTACGACTTGAACGACTCCATAACAGAGCCGCTCGACTCATCACAGGAGCTCTTCTCAGAACACATACCAAAACTCTACTACAAGACTTGGGTTGGACCACACTCCAAGCACGAAGGGAGATCCACAAACTCACCACGCTCCATGCACTTATGAAGGACAGGCACACACTACCACCAAACACGATTGCACTTCTACCCGACACACGAGCACAAGACACAGGACGACCACTTCGCAATGCGGCATCACTCACGCTCCCTCCAAATCGAACTACATCCTATCAAAAATCCTTCATCCCATCCACCATAAGGATCTGGAATCGTCTGCCATCACACATCAGGTGTTTACATTCATCACGTTCCTTTAAGCGAGAGATACGAGAGCGCTTGGGCGAAGCCCCACAACCTTTGTATTACAATTTGGGATCGAGAACGGGAAGCATTTTGCTAACTAGATTGAGACTCGGAATGTCGCATCTTAACGCACATATGTTCGGAATTCAAAATCAGCTTGTAGATGGTCCGAATTGCTCCTGTGGCTATCATTGCGAGGACCAAAAACATTTTATTTTGCACTGTCCCCTTTATGCTAATACTAGGATTAGAATGATTTTTGAAATGTCACAATTAATTCCTACTTTCTCACAATTACTTGACAAAGTACAACTTGACATACTTTTGAAGGGAACTCACATAGCAAGTAATCAAGCGAAGCAAGTGGCGCATATCATTCAGGGATTCATTTTTGAAACAAAACGATTTGCTTAAAAAAAAAGATGCCACGGGCAGTGGACAGCAGATGTGGTCTACTATAGGACCAGACGGGCTCCGCCGGCCTGTGGCGGAACCCTGAGTTGCCGAGCATTGGGCCCCCGCCCCTATGACCCATCCGGGCCAACCTGGGTACCGGTCCCAGGCTTGAAAGGGACCGGTCGGCCGCCCGGGCGGGCGGGGCGCCGGCCTGTCGGGTCGGGTCGGCGCTCCCCTCGCCCGGGCGGTGGTTAGGGGGCACCCCCGGGAAAGATGATTTTCCGGGGGTGCGGGCGGGGGCTCGCGGCCCGTCTGGAGCGCCGGGGAGGTATCCACCAGATCTCCCCGGCCCGGGGAGGTATCCCACAGCTCTCCCCGGGGCCGGGACGGCATATGCCATGGAACGGCACCGTCCCGGTCTGGCCAGACGGGCCGCCGTACAAAGTTAGGGGGAGGCCGCAGGCTGGCGGAGCGCGTGTGGTCCAGCTATAGTGGTCGGAAGGTCTGTCGGGGCGGCGGGGTTGCGCGTGGGACCTGGTGTGTGTGTGTGTGTGTTTATTTCGGTGATGCTCTGTTTCGTTTTGTTTTGTTGAAGAGGTGCCTCGTAATAAGTTTATGCTTTTGCACCAATTCAACTTTATTTCTGTCCATTGTCCATGCCCATAATCATGAATAAACGACAAACAAACAAACAAACATTCGTTTTCAGCAGTTTATGGGAACACGAGTGACTGCACGAGCTCAAGGTAAATTATGGAAATATGTCTATCATTGCCGCCCTTCGTTCACCGTAGAAGACATTAGACAACACTGTACCTGCAGCTGTCATGCTTGATAAAAACGCAAATTTGTAATATTCGTGAGCTTTCCAAACTTTTCTCATATCATCCATTTTCGTGATCCTGACTCGGAAATGTGGTTCAGCTTTTCGAAATAGGGGGCGAAGAAGCTCACTCTATTCACGAATCTGCTGCAAACTTGTTTGTTGAAAAAGTGTCATTTTTTCAACAGGAAATTTTGAAATATATTACAAATTACGTTGTGGGGCAGGTTCGTGTACGCACTGCCTGGGGGCACATTCGTGATTTTTTTTTTAGTTTTTGCGATTTATGACTTTATCTGTAGTAGGTTTCACTAATGACGCTCGCCTGACTCAGTCTCGGCTGCTTGGACGTCATGACGAGCAATTCACGCGAACTTGGCGAGGTCACGGAGGCCGGCAGTTGGCACATTCTTTTTGGCAGCCCATTCTTTCTACATATGTTGTGCAATGCATTCTTGTCGAAAGGAATAAAGTGAAACTACCCCCTACTAATTTCCTTTGGTAAATTTCTGGTAATGCCCGGTAATTTCTCGAGCTTTGCAGGCTGCCCGAAGTGCCCCATCTCTTGCACGAATGTGCCCCATAGGTGGGGTAGTTTCGTGCAAACGTTCAGAGTTATTAAAAGTCATTTTTTCTAATAGAAGCAATAATTTTAGAGGATAACTTTTAGAGTTGAAAAATATCTGCAATAGTTCCTTTCCATACTACAATCAACAATTTTGCCGTTGCACTAACCAAAGAACAGATATATGGATTTCTCCATTTTTTTTTTTTTTTGCACGAATGTGCCCCACTATCCCCTATATTCAGGGTTGGATTTGTCAGTTTCGATCCCGGGTCCCGGTCCATAAAATATGTCGGTATTTTTTAGGGTACATCGGGGTAGGTACCTACCACTTTGTTAATCGTTGGGGGGGGGGGGGGAGGGGGATCATGTGCCATGGAAAGTGATTGAATTTGGTGTACTGACTTTATATCTCGTTTCAAATTCATGTTTTGAACAGCCTTCTTTTGTGGTGCATGGAGCAGCCCATTTTAGTTAATCACAGATGGGTTGTTGGGTTATTAATGTTTAAATAAAAGTACTGGTCTGATGTAACTTGTCCCTAATATCCTGTGGCTCGTGTATTTGTCCCCCGTCTTAGGCCGACGACATTCGGAGAGCTGGCCATGGCTTATTGGCTATGTGTGTGGTCAACCGGCCCGCTCTGCTGTGGATTATTTCTGTACTGTCGGGTTGGAGCGTCCCAGAGCCCGGGGGCATTGCCTCGGTTATTTGGATGTCATTAATCCGAGTGGTGCAGCGCGCCGGTGAGGCCTCACCGCACCGTCTGTTTATTAATAGCCGTTTTCACGACGGACTATCCGGCGAATGCACCCAATTTGACCAAATCTGCACCTAATCTCTTTTACAGCAAATATCTTCATCTTATGAATTTATTTCAATGTTTTAACTGATGATGCTCTCTGATAATATGACAAAGCAGGCATATAAGCAATTAGAGCAACCCTAGCTGACAGCTACTAATAGACACACTGAACCTAATTTGACCAAATCTGCACCTAATCTGCACCAGATGTGCACCAAACGTGTACCAGATGGCCGTCGTGAAAACGGCTACTGTTCACCCTCGATAGCCGAGGGGAAGGGGGGGGGGGCGCTCCCCTGACGGTTTTCCAGGACTTGACGGAACACACCGGCGATAGAAAGCCGAAATAAAGCACGCCTATCATTAATGGTTTAACCCGCGCCCCACTGGGGGGGGGGCTATTTATAGCCCCCCCTCCCGTTTTTCTGCAATAACTTCCAAACCGCTTGACGTATCGACGCCAAACTTTCAGTACCTTCGGCTGCATCAATTTGACACCTTGTGTCAAAATTTGAACTTCGTACCTACCATAGGTCGGCCGGAAATGACGTCAGAGTGACGTCATGTTCGGCCGATTTCGACGCAAAACAATGAACCACGGCAATCGCTCCCAAGAGCTCAGTTTTTAAGCTAGATCCAATTTCTTTGCATGAGAGGACTCAGAATCGACTGCGCTATCAAACTGCTATCTCAGATTTTCGAAATTTTGAAAATTTCGAAAATTTTAAATAATCAAATTCAAAATTTATATTTTTACAATTTTTTTCAAAAAGTTTTTGACTTTTCGAAAAAAACCGGAATATATGTGATAGAACGCATTATTATGACTATCTCTAGCAAGTTTTAGCTAAATATCTTCAAAAATGGCCAAGTTATACGCATTATTGCAAAAAATTAACAATTATTAATTTTTCAAATCAATTTTTCAGCACGAATTTGACATCGTACGCCAATATAAATAGCACCATCGTGTTCCTGAGCTCAAACTGCATCGAATAGACACCTTTTTTGTTGAAAAATTTTAACTTCAAAATTTGACCTTTTTTGACCTGAAAGTGACCTGACCTAAGCTAAATTTGACTCAAAATGACCTCGCATGACACAGACGACATCAAATTCGCAATGTTTGGCCTAAATGGACCATAAAACATGTGTCACGTGACCGACGGATGATATAATATTTTCGTGACCTGTGATGACCTGACCTTGACCTGAAAATCAAAGTACAAGTTTGGTACCCTCAGAGTATCTAGAGCATCTGTTCACGAGTGTGTGAACCAAAAATGAGCCTGATCTGACTTGTAAGACGGCGGCCAGAGCCCAAAACGTGAAGAAGCCAAAATGCTAATAATTTTTACTTTGACCTGACCTGTGACGTCATCAGTGACCTCGAGGTCAATAAAATTAGGTTTCGCTCGACAGTTTTTCCGGGGCTATCAGACGCCGTTTGAATTTTGACGATCGGCCCAGTAGTTTCGGAGTTAGGAGGGGGGGCTATGAATAGCCCCCCCCCCCCCAGTAGGGCGTGTTACACGCAGACCCCAGTGGGGCGCGGGTTAACCCTATTAGTGGCAGGGGTGGGGGGGGGTTGTTTTCATCCACCCCTCAGGATTTTCGGGAATATCTCCGAAACCGCTGAAGCTACGATGCTGAAATTTTCTGACTTTTTCTAAATCTAAATTGGGCACATTCCCTGAAAATTTCAAGTTCATAACTTTACCAGGGGCGGCTCCAGAGCACTGGGAATTGGGGGGTCCTATTCGTGAAGCGAGTCATTTGGGCGAAGATCACGATGCTGATGTATTGTAACTGTATGCACCAGTTTTACGAACAGTAAATGAAAGGTATCATGTGATAACATATACAAAGTTATTGTGCATCCTCTTTTGACACGTTTTTGCTATAATAGGCGGATCCAGGCGTCCAAAAAGGGGGGTTATGTTTTACCTCCCAACATAGGTGCCCTGACACCGCCTATGCATGACCAATACAATTGTAGTCGTTCTCTCATAAGAAAATTGTAACATAACAAGACCATTACCACCCTTTTTAGAAACAGCACCAACAAAAACCTTATTTACTATACTTACCCCCAATCTCAATGATCTGTATCCGCCTATGCTTTTTGAAAATGCATATTTTTAGGATCCATGTGAATTCCTGGTTCATTCTCTATGGATCGGCAAAAGTTGCGTTAAGATTGGTTCAGAAACCTGGCGGTGATAAACAGTTAAAATGTATCTGCAATTTGCCTGTTTTTACCCCCCTCTACCCCCCTATTGACATTTTTTAATTTTTATTTTTTTAGAAATGTAGATCACGTTGAGCGAAATCGAATGCCGTTTGCATTTTGAAAGTCGGCCCGTTAGATCTCGAGATATCAGGGGGGGGGGGTTCGTAAACAGCCCCCCCCCCTGCCACTAATAGGGTTAAGCCGTATCGTTTGACGCAAACTGCCTTTTCGGTTTTCAGGTCAGGTCGGGTCACTGACCTAAGACGTCACAAGTGAACCTCTGCACGGTCCTAAAATGTCGCCACTTCACAACGCCCTCAGTGTCCTCGGTGCCGGCCGCTGCCGCCGCGCCGTTCGTGCGTCATCCGACCCCACCGACCGCCGCCGCCGCCGCCTCGGCGCTCCATGGATACGCGCCGTGAGTGAACAAATGGCCGGAGGTTGAGGAGCTGAAGGGTTGTGAAAGGTGGGTGTCGACCTCTCTCAGATTTGACTTGTATCTGGTGTGGGTATGGCGGAGAACCATCCATTCCTATGTTCAACTGGTGGTTGTTTGAGATAGCGCTAACTAAATTCAGTAAACAGTGAGAGCCCATTGTGTTAGATGAGAATAGCCTGCATGATTCCTTGTTATCCATTCCCACTTACCCTGGTCTGACGATACTGTGACCGGTATGTGACCTGTCGTCCTGTCCCAGACCTATGACCGTAGTATAACCGTCCTGTTTCAGGTGTTACCACCACCCGCTGATGGCTAACCCGGCGATGACCGCGCAGCTACAGGTAGGTGACAGGAATATCCAACTGGTGACGGGGAGGGGGCTGCTGCCAAGGGGAAGGGGGTCCGACCGGGAGGGGCTACTCGGGGGGGGGGGGGCTCCTCTGACACGTCATTGGTGATATCCGATCGGTGGGTTTTTGTCGTGCCATAGATATCGTTAAGGGATGGAAGTGCTGTGACCCATATCGATATCTAGACGCCAGTGGGTACTGGTGTGAACGCTGGTGAAAAAGCTTTTGGCATACTACTGGTCCAGTGTCGTTTTCATTTAGTGAAAGAATGGTCTCTTGTTCACCGCCCCACAGCCGGCCGGCCTGGCGGCGGCGGCGGCCGGGCCGGCCGGGCCGGCCGCCGGACCGGCCGGAGCGGCGGCGGCAGCGGCGGCGGCCCAGCTGGCGCAGCTGGCCGCTCTGGGGTGAGTGGGGACGGCAGGAGGGGGAGAGGGGAGGGAGTTTGAGACAGTGTCTTGGATCCTTTTGTTGGTCCTTGTGTCGATTATGGGTCGCACGTTTCTTCTTTGTTTGAATATCCGCTATCGGTGAAGATTGGTGTTTGCTCGTCAGAATACCGCTAATTTTTGTGTGGACTGGTGTCTTCAAAGCCAGAGCATACCAAGAAGTGAGAATAGAAATGTGTACTGTGCCAACTTGTTGCCCTGTTGTTGCCAACTTGAGTTCTTTTGCGACACTTTTTTTTTTGATTTTCATCAAATGTTATGTTTGTTTTCTGCCAGACGCCACGTGTCGACCTGGGCCCTGATGTGGCCGGTCCGGTCCTCTGATGTTTCAGAATTCCGGCGTCTGGGGAGTACGGGGCGGGTGGGGGTTTGTACCGAGCTGGGGGTGCTCGAGCTCTCCCAATTCCACGCTAGCTTGGCTCTGGAGCCGCAACAGACGGCGGGGTCAAGGTCACCGCTAGGGCGGCGGCGGTTTTGCTGCGCCGGGGCACCCCCAGCTCGGCACAATGTTCCACCTTTGCGACTTCCTATGAACCCTTCAGCCTGCGGCTAAGGATATTCATGGAACATGAGGCTGCGTTTCCATATACGTTATTCTTCATGAATGTTCTGATCCTCATATTATCTTTATTTTCTCTGCATTAATTAATCGCCTTACTTGCCGCAGGAAGGCATCGCTATTGTATGAGGCTCGTTTTCTGCCGAGTTGATCCAACGCCTGGCTCCCCTCCCCAGCCGGGTCCATCCCGTCGGCCCGTCATCAGTGCAGACCGGGACAGCCAGCCGGCCACCGAGCCGGCCGGTGCCCAGTCCGCCGGCGGGGACTCTCGGCCACCGGTGTCGGCCGGCCGAGCGGGACGCGCCTGCCGACGGCCCCAGAAGCCGCTCCTTCCGGCCGACTGTCCGCTGATGGAGAGATTCCAGAGGGCGCTGGCCGCTCTGCTGAGGAAACAGATCGGGAAACTGGACCTGGACATGGTGGAGCTGGTGGGTGACCGGGGGGGGGGGAGGGGGGATTGGTCTGAGTCGGTGGTAAAAGTGGTGTGTTTGGTCTGGATCGTTTGGTCAAATGGCTACACTAGCTTTGGGAGCGATTTATATGTAGAGTAGGGATGTTACCCTGGGGTAAACCAGAGAATCCTGGACCTAGTGGAGAAAGTGGCTTCTTTGTAAATGGTAACGTGAGCTGGAGATTTGCTACTTTGTGGCTGAACGGGACGCTCAACTGCCTGAGCTGTTACTAGTCGTGTTGGGTGACCAGAAGACTATTTCTCTTCCGTACAGCCCCGATACTGGCGAGTGGACACGGCCAATCCTCACCCCCCCCCCAACAACTCTCCCCCCCCCCCCCTGACAGCGGAAGGAGCAGCGGTCCCGCACCAAACACGGCGAGTCGTGCGGCGTGCAGCTGTACGAGCGGCAGCTGCAGCTGGCCAGACAGCAGGAGCAGCAGCTGCAGCTGCAGCAGCGGCTCTCTGAGGCCGCCGAGGCGCGGGCAGCTGCCGAACAGACGCTCACCGCCGTCCGACAGAGACATGGCGAGATTGGCGATCGTCTGGAGGCCGACAGGGAGAGGGGAGAGAGGGAGAGAGGGGAGGATCAGAGAGGAAGGGAGGTAGAATGAGAATTAGAGTGATGGAGTCGAATAGATGAATCGATACTTTCCATCCCAAACACTTCGGTTGTACTTGATGTTCTTTATTGTATATTATTTATTATGCTATATTTGCCTAGCGTAGCATAGCTTATTACACTACATGTTACAATAGGTGAAAAATTACATCGCGACTTGCTGATTATACATGATATGCAGACCCCAATAAACACACAAGCTACTGTGTTCTGATTCGTCACACCTGTGCTCCAAATCACCGTAATATATTCCCTCCTCGTCACTACCCGCGTTCCTGCGGCGTATTATGTCCGTTTTTCTCTGTACCGGTCTGCCTTATTGACTCCAGACATGTCACACAGAGCATGCCCCGCTCGTCGCTGATCGCCCCCTCCCTCTGCGTGACGCCCCCAGAGCGGCAGCTGCGTGCCGACGTGTCTGCTCTGGAAAAGAACGACTACCACCTGAAATCGCTGGAGGCGGACGCCGACACGGAGCTGCAGCTGCGACAGAAAATGGCCGAGAGGGCCGAGGCAGAGATGTCTCAACTGGAGCAGGATCAACAGAGACAGGTATGGAGGGGGAGGGAGAGAGATGGAGAGAGAGAAAGAGAGGGAGAGAGAGAGAGAGAGAGAGGGAGGGAGGGAGGGAGGGAGGGAGGGAGGGAGAGAGACCGACGGACACGTGTATTAAGTCCTTTAAATAATCGCACATCATACTTTTCATCCACAGAAAAGCGCCGAGTTGCACCCTCGTACAACGTCAGGTGATAAGTAAGAACTTCACACTCTAACCCATACTACAGTGTTAGTATTTGAGTAAATACCGTGACAGCGGCTCGGTACACGTGTCACAGGTGTATCTACACCACTGTGATGTTCTCCTTGGTGTGTAGATTAGTACGTTGGTCTGATCTTCATATCTGTTTTCTTCAGTGACTCAAATCCCCTCCACGGCTCCCACCCTATTCCAGTCGCGTCCCTAATACCGCCGTCCCGGTACCGTCCGTTCAGGCTGATCAACCCGCACCTGCCGTACCACCAGGCCCCCTGAGCGATCTGTGCACAGTGGAGGTAAGACCTGTCGTCCTGGTCACGGTCACGGGTAGAGAACTTCTCATTGACGTTCCACCTCAGACCATCCCCGGCAGTTCCAGAGTAGTTGGTATAGCTCAGTCTGTACCCATCCAGCTCAGAGGAGACGCTGAACCCTTTGTATACAGCGTATGATCTATTACCGTCAAAAGCCTCGAGATCAATACGGAGTTCGTACCGTCGGCCTGATGACGTTAGCTGATAAACGTGTTCCAAGCCCCACCAAAATTCTTTGGTAACATTACCAAATCCGTCCTTGTAGTCGGTCCATCCGAGGTAGAAGTCCTGGTGTGGCTGGATATCAGCTCGTCGTTGTATCACCGTCCAGTTCCCTCCGGCAGTGGCCATGTCACAGTAGGCCTCGACGGGTGGTTGTTTGTTGTTACCACTGGGCCGAATGAGGTAGACTCCAGACGGGGAGTCGTCAGGCAGACCGCTGCAGTCACGGGGAGGATGGTGATGGTTCACCTTAGCAGCTAGGTCATCAATACGCTCCTGTTGGGATGATGTGTTGTTGATGGCTCCGGTCAGCTTGGATCCTAGAATGTCAACCTGGGATGTCAGGCTATCCATTCTGACTGAAACCTCACGCTGAGTCGTTTTTTGTTGGTTCAGCTGGGTGTTGAGCTCGCTCAGTTGAGATTGCTGGCTGTCGATCCTTGTAGCCAGTTGAGACGTCTGGTTGAGTTGATCTCCTTGCTGTGTAACGATGGTATCCAGGTGCGCTGTGAGGCTGTTCACTGTGGTTGCACTCTCCTCTTGTTGTGATTTCTGTTCGTTTAGTGTTGATTGCTGGCTGTCGAGCCTCGTAGCCAATTTACGCATTTCACTCACATGTTTTCCCATGTTGGTGGCGATGGCACTCAGTCGTTCTGTGAGGTCGTTCACTGTGGCTGTCGTCTCGTCTTGCTGGGATTTTTGGCCGTTCAGCTGTGTGACGACCTCGTCCAGCTGAGTCTGCTGGCCGTCCAGTCGGCCGGTCAGCTCCTCCATCCGGGAGTCGAGCTGAGTCAGTCTGTCTTCGATAGACTCCAACCCTGACTCCATTCTGCGCTCCAGAGCCTCCATTCTAGACTGCAGCCTGTTCTCCAGAGGTTCCGTTCCTGACTGCAGTTCATCACGCACCACTTGCTGTATGAATTCCTTCACGGGGATGGACTCACGCACCACTTGCTGTACGTATTTCGTCAACGAGATGGACTTGCCACCGTCACAGCCGGCCGTCACGATGAGCACGGCCAAAGTCAGGAGCGTCGCCAGCCGGCTGCTGAGGGCCGACATGGTGACACGGACACTGAGACAGTATGTGATCCACCGTCCTCGGCTGCCGCCCTCGGACTGACGGCTCGGAGCTGGCCGGACGTCTGCAGAGCTCGGTGCGGCTGGCCTCTGTCAGAGGCGTTACATCCGGTGACGCGGCCCGGTCCCGTGACCGACAGACTCAGCGATAAACATTGACATTGGCTCCTGACTACTCTGTTGCAAGGATGCTATTGCTTCTCATGGTAGCAACATTCATTAGCCCGTTTTTGTGTACAGTGGGTGCCGTTGTCGATCTAGGAAAAGCTGGCCGCATCTCTATGTTTATTGGCAGCGAGACTGACTCGCGTCTCGCAATAGCCCTCGGTCACGAACTCCAGTAGAATCGACAACACCTTTGAATACAACAAAACGAACGGAAAGAAACACAAAAAGATAATCGATTACTATACTAAATCAAAACTTATGTAGCACAGATAAGCAGAATCAGAGTCGAAAACACGACGCACGAGCATTGGAATATGGGTTTTGTAAACTCGCAAACCGTTTGAATCTGAGTGAAAGTTAAGGCGTAATCAAGACACCAGCATTCAGCGACTGCACATTAGTGACTGCGCCGTTTGACCCCCCCCCCGCCCCCCTCCCCATAAGTGCGAGGGTTAATCTTGGACTCATGTTTTACCGTTTAATATGGAAAAGACTCCAACGGTGTTATCTCTGCTTCATTCCCACCCTCCCTATCGTCAGCACCTGTCCATCGTTCTTGTTCACAACTCAAACTGTTTGTGTGCACGGCCACGCCACTCGATGTCCGGCCGTTCCGGGTTCTCCACTAGGGGTATACGGCCCTCCGGACTGGCCGCTTGAGTGGATGGGTGGTCTGTCCCACCGGGACACTGGCGTCCCACCGGGTGGTCCCCGCCACTGCGACGCACCGTCGGTGGTCCGCCAGCCCAATGTCTCCCCATCCCCTCTCCCCTGAATGAGCTGGAACCGAACGGGCCTGCCCACCAAATCAAGCAAACTAAGTTGTGGCCGTGCTTACTTTGATATCAAACCTGTGCTGACGTCTCGCAGCATCGGGCCGCAGGAAGGGCGTTTGTTGGTTCAGACGGACAGGGGTCACCTTGGCGGTCCCGACGGCAGCGGCCGGACGCTCTATCTGCACTGTTCCGGTCCCAGCCGGAGTCTGGTGCAATCCTCATGAACTGCAGAACCTTCCTATTGACGGCATTTTGTAGCTTCTGACTTTATTATGTTGTTTGAAAGGGTGTCTCCGAGGTGCGCTTTTTTCTTGTGAGCGTCAATGTGGAACGTCTAGATATGTCACAATCACGCTGCGTTTAATACAGGGCCTTTTCTGAGGAATTTTCACTGGGGGGAGGGGGCAGAGACTGAAGGAGTCAAACCTCGGGTACCCCCAAATCCTGTTTTCTCACCGGAATTAGGCCACTTGTTTTTCGTCACAGCCCTGAGACCATGATTTTTTTTAACAAAAAAAAAAAAAACAGGTAATCCGAGCCACGCCCGTATGGGGGGGGGGAGGGGTGAACGGACCCTTCTCGGTTTTTCGCAAATAACTCGAGGGTAAAAAGCGGCCGATCGCGACGAAACTTTCTTACCCTCGCAGTCGCGATTATCAATTTTACGCCTACCCTGAAAATTTGAGGCCTCACCGCACTGTCTGTTTACCCTCCCCCTTCCAGCCGGGGAGGGAGGGGAGGGGCGCTTCCCTGACGGTTTTTCAGGACTTTACGAGACGTACCGGCGATTGAGAGCTGAAATTTAGCACACCTAACATTTGAAACAAGCCGGATCGTTCGACATAAACTGCATTTTCAGGTCAGGTCATTGACCTAGGACGTCACAAGTGAACCTCTGCACGGTCCTAAAATGTCGCAGTTGCAGCGCCCTCAATGCTCGAGGAGCTTACACAAGGTGATGACACTGACAGGTCCCAGTAGACGTGACGCAGCACATGGCCGCACCAAACACCCCTCGCACGGAGAGGACGGCGGGCA